GCACGAGAAGTGCAAAAACGCATAATCGCACCGGCCCGCCTGGTGCGTTCCAGCCTGGGTTTTTAGGAGAACCATGAATTATGGGACAGTTTCGTGTCCGAAAATCTGCACTTATGTTGTTCAAAAACTTTTTAGTTTTTAGAGTGTCGAATTTAATTTCCGGCGTTTGGCTGTTATTTTTTTTCGAGTTTTCGAAGTCTGAAATTTAATTTCCGGCACTTGGCTCTTATTTGCCTATGTTCATATTCTCTCTTAACAAAACAAACAGATATCATATATTTGTGTCAAAAAGAAAAACGGCAAAAATTCCATTTACCTTTTTGCCGTTCCTCAGAAAAGGCTATTGAAAACGATTACTCAGTGCAGTGATGGAATTCTTACCAAATTTGTCGGAAGTACGTGTGTTTCTCAAAACCCAAACCCTCCGAGTTTTGAAATTGTTTACAGTACGAAGAATGAAAAAACCCTCATTCTTCGTTATCATTTCGTTTATTTGCTTTGTGAAATGTAATTCTTACTTGCTATTGTGTATTTCAGATTGAGCGGTGGCTCGCCGTTTCTTGGCGAAACTCGCGAAGAAACATTTGTAAATATATCTGCTGTAAATTATCACTTCAGTGAACGTTATTTCGAACATGTCTCACCATATGCGAAAGATTTTATCGGTCGTCTGTTTGTGCGAGATCAACGAAAACGAGCCACTGTTGATGAATGTCTGAGGCATCCCTGGACTCGAGGTGTACGTTTTTCCTTTCCTCTTTTTTTTTCCAACACTTCAAAACTCGTTATTTGTCTTTTCCAGTTATTTTCGCAGGAAGATTTTAAACAGTTTGTTGTTTACGACTAGTTATTTTCTACATGGCTGAATCCTCTTTTCAAATTTGGTAGATTTTACGTTTTCATGACGTTAACCGAAGTCGCAGCATCATCAGAGCCCGAAAAGTGTCAAAAAAGTTAAGGCCTTCAGGGCAGTCAGTGTGGGAATCTTGATTTTATACTAATGAAATTTCTGGGACGCTCATGCGCGCAGATGCAGCTGTGCTAAGCTCCTTGATCCTATCTTGCATATTCTGTTCGATATCCACCGATTGATCCGTAAATATGCACCAGCTCGCCAGAACCTGCCCAAATGTGGTGCCAGTTATTGATACAGCGATGTTTACCGGTTGTGAGCAATATGGATAACATCTCCTGCCTATCGGACTTTACTTTCTACTAGGCCACGTCGAATACCATAAATCAAAACTGCCATATATAATTTTTTGAGCTTGCTCTATTCTGAAATCCCATC